TAATTGTCGCAGTGAGCATACATATTTTATTAATCTCTGCGTGAGCACTTAGCACATACCTGGTGCTCCAAAGTGTTTCTTATTTTGAAATGGGTTAAACTTAGTTGACCTATCTGTGTGGTGGTTTGGCCAATAAAGGAAGTCAATACTAAAAATAGAAGAAGCAATTTTGAGGGAAAATCTCTTGCAATGAAAAAGCTCTTTCCCCTCACTGTGAAAGTGAGTATGGATTTCTGCTCCAGGACTCTTCTCGCTGCCACTGAAAAGCTGCTGCCTCCAATGGTACATATGTTACCTTCGTTTTCAGTTTTTTTGATATCAGAATTAATTCCAGGCCACTTGTTGTGGCTTCAAACCAAAGCATTTGTGACAACAACTCAAGAATGAATTAAAAAAAAAAAAATACAGCCAGGCGCGGTGGCTCAAGCCTGTAATCCCAGCACTTTGGGAGGCCGAGGCGGGTGGATCACGAGGTCAGGAGATCGAGACCATCCTGGCTAACATGGTGAAACCCTATCTCTACTAAAAATACAAAAAACTAGCCGGGCGTGGTGGCGGGCGCCTGTAGTCCCAGCTACTCGGAGGCTGAGGCGGGAGAATGGCGTGAACCCGGGAGGCGGAGCTTGCAGTGAGCGGAGATTGCGCCACTGCACTCCAGCCTGGGTGACAGAGTGAGACTCCGTCTCAAAAAAAAAAAAAAAACTTTCCAAAAAACAACATGCTCTTTTTATAAAAGGCTTTTTTTTTTTGGTGAATAGATTTCCCATACTCATGGATTAATGATTCTTTAGGTACTTTTATCAAATAGATAATGTATACCCATATTAGAATAAGAGGTAATCTTTCATAAAGGTAATGATATCTGACTGGGAGGTAGGCCAAGACTATTTCCTATATCACAACTTACACTGACAATGGTAACATTATCATCTGGAATCTGCCGGTGAAAGCAAAGCACAGATCATGCTACAGGAGCTTCTTGAACCTAAGAATCACAGGCCAGCACACATCCAATTCTGCCTTCCACTACCACCTATGATCCTTGGGCTAGTCACTCAAATTTTCTGACCTCTTTTCTCCTCTGGGAAACAGAGAAGCTAACACATGCCCTGTAGGATATTTGTGAGAATGAAACCTAATGACATGCGTGGTGTGGAGGGCTTTCACACCAATTTATTGCTCTCTTTCTCTCCCCTTCCTGAGAGAGGATCCTGAATAAGATAGCAAGTAAAATGAGAGAGACTTGGCTGGCATAACCCATAAAAAAAGACCATCAAGATGAGCAAAAACGTGGATTGTTGGTCTTGTCGATGCTTTTCTTTGAAGGTTCTGAAAGACCTAAAACTGCCTTCCTCTACACACAGGAGGGAGGAGGGAGAGAGGGAAGCAAAGGAAAAAGTACCAACAGAGAAGTGACAGCAGTTTCATCATGCGTGCACTCTGTGAACTAGGAGGGCAAAAGGAAAAGTAATCAATAAATATGTACTGAGCACTAATTACGTTCTATGCTCTCAAAGAACATTTTGCCCAGAAGACATAAACATGAACAAATTATAAAATATACTCAAGACACACTAGAGGTGAAGGAGCAGAGAGCGATTCACCATTAACGTGTATGGAAGAAGGTATCCATGAGAGACTGAGGAAATATTGCTAGACCAGGACACAAACACCAGGCAAGGCTACCAGAACATGGGGCTGGTGAGGCAGGTGCAGCAGGAGGCCCATGACACTGAGGTGTGCAGACTCTCAGCCCTCCTGGGTCTCCACACCTGGCTCAGGCCCTCCCCCAGGCCTTGCCCCACTGCTGGTCTCATTCCTCTCCACTGCCATTTACTCACTTCTAGAGAGTCCCAGAACCTGCAACTCCTCACTCTTTACATGGTTAGTGCCTGCAGGGCAGGGCCTCTGACATTTGGATTCTTTCCTATTTTTCCAAACTTAGCACAGTATAGGTCCTCAATAGATGCTTAATGAATAAATCAGAACTGCTGTGATACTCCCCCTTCTATGGGCCCTGTGGTGCCTCCGACCCAGACCCGCCCCTTCACTCCATTCTTCCCTTGTGGACTCACTCTCATACTTGCACTGCAGACCTCAGTTCTCAGCTCCCTGCAGGGTGCCTAACTCCACTGCCCTGCTGCAGGCAGATACCCCATTAGACATCTCATGGCATAGTGTGCTCCTTCATATGTGTTGCAATTTAACATTTATGTGGACAATTGTTTGATAAAGGCACACCTCTCTTCACTGCACGATAAGGTAAGCACCCAGGAGGACAGAGAATATGTCAGTCTGTTTTTGCTCACCAGTATAGCCCACACTTAACACAGTGCCAAACATAGGGTAGAAGCTCAAAAAATATCTTTTGAATTAATAAGTGAATGAAAAAATGGAGAAAGAAAGTTAGAAAACAAAGAAGTGAGTAAAGGAAGAGGATGGAGAGAGGAAGGGGAGAAGGAAGGAAGGAAGGAAGGAAGGAAGGAAGGA